GGTGACCTCCCCTGTGTCACCTCAGAGCTGTGGCCCAGAGCTTCCCTCGCTGGCTGTCCCTTGGGAGTGAGGGAGGGCTTGATCCAGCTGGGGCTGGCTCATGTCACCTCCTGCTGTCCTTGGGGTTCTCCTGCCCTCTTCTGAACTGTTCCCCTGCTCCTGGCCCCATCCTGCTCTGTAACAGGCTCCGTGTGTGATGGGAGGAGGTTCAGGAGGGGTTTGGTCAGCAGGAAACAGGGACATGACGTGCAGGGCTTGGGGAGATCTTCCCCATTCACAGTGAGTTTTCCAAAACTTCTGCAGCTTCTGGGATTCCCCTGTGGGCATTAGGGCCAAAATGGCTTTGGGATGAGATAGAACTGAGGCTTCTAGGGCTTTCTAGGGTGCTGGGCTGGCAGCACCCTGGTGTCAGGATCCCAAATGTCCCAGGCACCAGTGGGGTTTACACTGGGCTGTCCAGCAGAGACCCACCCTAAAAGCTTGTCCTGCTGCCCTGCCTTGGCCCATCACCTCTGCTGTGCTTGGAGAATCCTCAGATTTGTTTGGGAAGGGACCTTAAATCCCATCCCATTCCACCCCCTGCCATGGCAGGGACACCTTCCACTGTCCCAGGCTGCTCCAAGCCCCGTCCAACCTGGCCTTGGGCACTGCCAGGGATCCAGGGGCAGCCACAGCTGCTCTGGGCACCCTGTGCCAGGGCCTTCCCCACCCTCCCAGGAAGGATTCCTGCCCAGTATCCCCTCCCCGGGCCAGCTCAGCCTCTGCAGGGACACAAACACCGCCCCAAGCCAGGCTGGAGCACCGGACGGTCCCTGCAATTTCCCATTCCAACACTTGGAGGCAAAACAGGACAGACAGACGTGGGACACCGGGATGTCTCCCTGCTCTGGTGCCACAGCAGAGGCTCCTGCCCTCCCTTCCCCTGAGATCGGGGGTCACTGGCCGCAGCTCCTGGGCACAAGCCACTTGTCCTGAATGCAGGGCCTGGCCCGGGCAGCTCTGCCCAGGGGGCCCAAGGTGCTGGGGCACAGGTGACACTGCTGAGGCCGCTGTGACAAGGCCACCCACACCCTAAATAACAGCGGCTCACCACCAGCATCCTGCTTCTCTGGAAAACCATCTCCCAACAAACCACTTTGTGTCTCTCTCCTGAGCACCACCAAACCTCTGCAAATTCGAGACCAATATTTCCCTGCTCTCACGGGGTCACTGCCTGCTGCCTTTTAATAAAAACATTTTCCCCACTTTAATGTTCAGCTCCCTTTTCCCCGAGAGAAATCCCAGCCCCTGAACGGCTCCAGTCCCCGTTTCCAGTCACTCAGCTGTTTTCCTGGGCACCCAGAGCCTGCACCAAGCCTCAAGGAACCTTCTCCTGGCCCAGCCCAGCTGCTGGTGCCGCCGGGATTTGGGGATGCTGTGGGTGCCCAGGTGCGCATCCAGAGCCAGTGCAGTTGGTCCCCAGGATATTTTGGGAGAACACAGCGGAGAAAAAGCTTATCCGAGAGGGATTTGCCAGCAGAGGGCAATGCTGGGATGAGTTTCCCTCCCTGCGCAGTTCAGGGTGTTGAAACAGCTCCAGCGTGGGAGGAGGAAGGTGACAGATACTGGGATTGCAGCCCCCGAAAGTGCCTCAGTCCTGCCCAGCCCATCCCATCCCTGTCCCTGTCCCTGTGTCCCTGTCCCCTCGGGGAGGGCTGGAGGTGACACCGGGAGCTGCCACCCTCCTGTCACGGGCAGCGGGGTTGGGGTACCCCAAACCAAGCTGGGGCAGATCCTGGCTGATGCTGAGTGTTGGGACAGCTCACACAGATCAAGGCTGGGGCTTTCTGCCTAGGGCTGGGTTTGCCAGTGCCAGGTTAACGGTTGGATTCGGTGATTTTGGGGGTCTTTCCCAACCTAAGGAATTCTGTGATACCCAGTGCCAGAATCCCTGGGGTCAGGCCGGCCTCTCCTGGCTCTTGTCCTCACTTGTGCCAGGGATGGTTTGGTAACAGCTCCACCTGACCAGCAATGACACAGAGATAAAATGCAAAACACTCCTTTTTATTGCAACAGGGAGCAGCTCTGCCTGGCATGTAAGTTAAACCACAAAATTAAAGTTAAAATACAAAGAAGGAGAAAAAGGAAAAGAGCATTTTTAGTTGTTGGTGATGCCTCAGTAGCCACCTCCATGGGTTGTCACAGCACTTCCTAATCCAATATCTGACATCATTCTTCAGCCTCATTCAGTTCAGTTTCACCTCAATCCTGAGCAAATATTGACAAATCTCACATAATCCCACGAGCAATCCTGGAGAACTTCCTTTTGTTTGCAGGGAGCTCGGCACCTCCAAATCCCCTGGCCAGGAGCCAAGGGACACGAGCACAGACTTCAATTGCAAGAGCAAAAGGACGAGGGCAGAGGGGCTGTGTGTGCGTGTGGTTCGCTGGGAGGGCTTGTGGGGACCAGGGATGCTCTCCCCACATGTCTGCCCACAACAGGGTGGCTGTGGGGGCATCCCCTGTGCCCAGGGACTCACTCCAGTGCCCCGGTCCAGCTGCAAAACCCTCCGGGACACATTTGCTATCAGAGAATGTGACAAATCTTCCCTCACCCACCTCTTCCATTCCTCACCTGACACAATTCTCCCCCGTCAAACCATCCCTGAGCAAGGCCAGGAGGTCCTAACTCAGCTCCTCAGCACCAGGGCTCACGTTATTGCTTGGAAAGTTTGGGGTGTTTTTATTTTACCAATTCGCCAAGCCACAATTCCAGCTCAGGGAGAGCGATGGAAGCGTCGGGATAAAGAACGAGGGAGCGCTGCAGCTTCTCCTGGACACGTGCTGACAGGGTTCCCACCACTTCCTTGTGGCCAGCGAGGAGCTGGGGGCTGTTCCTGCTGGGGCTCTGGGGTTTGGTGACACTGTGGGCATCAACTGGCTCCAATCTCTTGCCTTGAACAAGAACCAAAGGTTTTGGCTTAGGCAGGGTGAAGGCCTCCTCTGTTTTCTGCTTATCCTCATGGATGTCATGGATGCTCAGTGCTTAACAGAACCATGGAATCACAGGATGCTTTGGGTTGGAAAAGACCTTCAAGGTTATCTCATCCCAACCAAGCTGATGGCTGGCACCAGTTGGTGCCGAGCCGGTGTCTGGTTCAGCCAAGCTCAGGGCAAAGCAGCATCCAGGCTCTGCTACTCAACCCTGGGGCTCCAGATGCACCAGGAATGGCTGAGTCCTTCCTTGGGACTCTCTGTACCTCAAAGGCTGCACCCAATGGGCAGAGCTGGGCCAGCATCGAACCTTGCAGGTGAAACCCCAACACCCGACTGGGAAGCACCTGGTGTGGTTCTGCTCCACGGGAGTCTGGAGTCTGCTGGGTGCATGGCACAGCCAGGATCCTCGGGATCTCACGGCAAAGAGGGTCCCCAGGGTGTCACAGCATCACTGCAAGGAAAGGGACATTCTTTCCTGGGGTGGCTGCTTGGTGTCACCCACTGCCTTGCTTCCCGTGCAGGAGAGGATTTGCAACTCCTCCATTCTGCTCCAGTACATCTCACCACAGCAAAGGTGACCGTGGTGGAGCTGCTCTCACATCCGTGCGCCTCAGGGGAACTGCAGAGGGGCAGGGCCTGCCCCAGCCTCAACTCCACCAGGCCCAGCCAGTGCTGCTCATTTGTCAGCACCACCAGTGCTCCAGTGGCCCCTCTCCATCAAAAAATGTGCTCCTCATGCAGCCAGGCAACAGAACTTCTCTCAGATGGCACCCACAGCACCTTCACTCTGCCCAAATCCTCCTGCAGGGTGCGCCTGGGGGATGTGTGCCAATGGATGTGTGCAGCTGGGATTAATGGATGGATGATGGATGGATGGATGATGGATGGATGGATGGATGATGGATGGATGATGGATGGATGGATGGATGGATGATGGATGGATGGATGGATGGATGGATGGATGGATGGATGGATGGATGGATGGATGGATGGATGAATGGATGGATGATGGATGGATGGATGGATGGATGGATGGATGGATGGATGGATGGAGGATGGATGGATGATGGATGATGGATGGATGATGATGGATGATGGATGGATGGATGGATGGATGGATGGATGGATGGATGGATGATGGATGGATGGATGGATGGATGGATGATGGATGGATGATGGATGGATGATGGATGATGGATGGATGGATGATGGATGGATGGATGATGGATGGATGATGGATGGATGATGGAGGATGGATGATGGATGGATGACGGATGGATGGATGGATGGATGGATGTGCAGTTGGCAGGAGGATGGCAGTGGAAAGCAAAGGCGGTGTCAATCGACTGGTTAAGGACTTCATCAAGTCAGTGACCTGTTGGTGGCACCTGGCAGTTCATTTTTAGTAGCAGAACCGCAGTGCTCAGCCCCAAATTCACAAATTCAGAACTCAATAAGCAGCTGTGATAAAAAAAGCTCAGTTTGATTCACATCTCTGTCTTCCCTGCATCCCATCCATGCTCCATGTACTTCACCTATGCCATGCCCCAGTCCTGATGGAGGGATAACTCTTCCAGGTAGCATTAAATCCTAACCTGGAACCCACATCAGCCTGTTCCATGCTCAAACACTGGGGACAAGTGGCATCTATACAGTTTACGTATCATCTATACATTCTACATAGTTTAATCCTTCATTCCTGCTAATCTTCCTGATCCCTGCTCAATCAATTCTATTTCTCCACCCTTCACCCCTCCCATCCCTGATCCACAATCCGTGGTGGTCTCAGCATGGGCACAAACACTGACCCTGCAGCTGAGGCTTCATCTCCAGATGTTCACTCTCAGTTTAAGGTCTCATTTAAATCTTCTCCTTAAATTCCTTTAAAAGCTTCCCTCAATCTGTCTGTGACCTTCTCCCACCTATTGGGGTGTCACCCACTGCTCCTACACCCCACAAACCCTCCCATCCCGCAGGTGATGTTCTCTTCTAACAAGGTCCAAAAAACCAGTAAAAAACAGTACTGAGGGAGTACTTTGGAATTTATTTATGGAGGCAGCTCTGTATTTAACACCCAGCAGCCTGGTGGAGATGGGCTGTGTTATTGCATGGTTATAGAAACATGGAGAGGAGCTGCTGTGGAGATGTAAGGGTGATACCAGCCTGGGAGAGAAAAGCCATAAGGACTCTTGGAGGAAGGCGGCTTCTGGGAAAGGAGCAGCAGCAATGATGAGATGAGGGAGCCTGGGAGGCCTCACAGCAGCTGAGCAGGACTTGGAGGGGCCCAAAAGAAAGGTGGGGACAGAGTATTCAGCAGGACCTGTGGGGAGAGGAGAAGAGAGCACAGCTGAAAACAGAGGGAGGGCAATTTAGGTTCCGTCAGAGGAAGATGATTTTTCCAGCGTGGCTGGAAAAGTGAGACCTTGGCACAAACTGTGGATGCCCTGTCCCTGGGAACATTCAGCATCAGGCTGGACGGGATCCTGAGCAACCTGGTCTGTTGGGAGGTTGCTCAAGATGGAACGGGAGTGGAGTGGCCCCAGGAGTTCTGTGCAGGGGCAGCTCTGGCTGTGCCGGCCGGGCCCTTTGTGCCCCGTGGGTGCCGCAGGTGCTGCGGGGTCGCTGGGAGAGCTGTGCCGGCTGCCACAGAGCCCCGGCGGGAGGCGATGCCGGCACGGCCGGGGCTGCGGGACCGCGGCGCTGCCCCCGCAGGGCCCGGGGCTCCCGCACCAGCCGAGG